CATGTGTGTGATACTTAAATAAAGTTTGAAGTACAAACTTTGTAGATGACAGTGAAATACTTGCTGTCGAAAAATGGTATTACAAGCTAATATTTTTACTAGCCATGAAATTGCAAATTAAAATTAAGTTCAGCTCAAAACTTAGAAAATTTCTAAGTCTGTCAACACCTAGACATTGATATGTTTAGCAAATTATTTTGAGAGATTGGATTAAGGGGTGATGTAGTGTTATAGCTCAATTTGGTAGTCTCATATGCCCTCTTGGGCATGGTGAAGATGGTTTGGCTCCTGAAACAATTGTTTAGTTTTTATAGGCGCTTTAAAATTCGTGCACTGAGTTGCCGGGGGTGCGCGTGGGTGAATTCGGGAAAGGCCATGGGGTTAAGTGAGAAGTTCTGAGGGAGGGGGAAATAGTGTTAGTGCTTAGTTGTAATTCGGAAGAAGTGTGAGGTCTCTTTTGCAAAATCGCCAGCGCGCGCGGGATTCCCCCCGTCGCGGGCCGTCTCGCTCTGCAGGCTGGCCTCGCATGGGCCCCACCGCGGGCCGCCGCGCGCTCACGCGCGCGCTGTGTCACGTGGGAGAATTCGTTTTTCTTTTTTCATAAGGAATTAAAAATAGTTTTGTAATTTAATTTTTGAGCTGATCTTTGGTAAATCATATAAAATCATGTAGGTGTCTAAAAATTATGAAATAAATTTTGTCATGTTTCTAAAATTGTGCTCTATCTGTTAGTGTATTTAGCTCATATATATATGTTGATACTAGGAGGTATTAAATCATTTGAGAGTGCTCAATATTATTAGGTTAAATGTTATAGGGATTTTTGTGGTAAATTGGTGATAGCTTTAGTCCTAAAATTTTAATGGTAGCTTCATTGTATTATTATGTGCTCACTGTAATTTTTGTAGCCTTAGAATAGACTAAGCATTAGGGTAGTTAAATGCTTTTTGTTTTAATATACATTAAATCATTAGTAGAAATAAAGATATATCCTTCATTTGTAAAGCTAGGTACTTGTTAGTTAAACCCAACACTTTGCTTGGTAAAGATGATAGTTAGCTTAGTACCTTAGTCATTAAAGCTAGCTTAGTAGCTTAGTATGCGTATTATTAGTTTAAGAGTTGCTATTGCGTAAATGCTAAGTGTTACATCATCATCGCATGCATGTAGAGAACGAGTTGGCGGAGATCGTGACCACCGACGAGCGTGAGTTCGAGGAGATCATCGAGGAGTACGAGGAAGAGATTCTCGGGCAGGAGGAGGTCCCGAAGCCACCACTGACTGACTCAGCTGACACCGCGCCTGCCCAAGGCAAGCCGCATTGCATAACCTTTATTTTTTATAATCACTGAATATATACATATGTGATGTACATTTACGTTACAGGATTTTATGAAAACAACACGCATAGATATAACTGTCCTATGAGTCCTACTAGTATAAGTTAGAGTAGCTGCTATACTAAGGTTTTCGGTAGCGTGAGTAACCTGTCGTTACTCACAAAATGACAGGGATATGGTATGGGTATTGGTGGGTGTAACATGTTGTGTACCGTGGCCAACGGGGCTTAGCTTGGTTACACTGTTTTCTCTGTTCGTGTCGATTAAGGACCGTCCGTTGCTGTGGATGGTAGTCATGTCACAGACTTATTATCCTAAGCACATACTTGCTTATGGGAGTGGGAAGGCTCGTTATGCTCTTGTCGTGGGTTCTGGCTCTTTTTGGACTAAAAGTGCAATCAAGCCTTAATTGTGGGTTTTGGTGATAATAACAACGCAATTAGAGAATTAATAAGATTTATCAAGATGACAAGCAGGGAATTTATATTAAAGGATGCTACACGGAACGGAGGAGTCCCCAATTACAAATGTAGATGGCTTCAAACTCAAAGGAGGTTTAAATTCTTTTATATATTGAATTTGAGTATAGAAAAAGCCGTACTATAAAGGGGGCACAATGCTTAAGCTAATATGTGCTACAAAGTGCTCAAACAACCATAAGCATCCTCAGATTCACAGCCAAGACAGTCTGCACTTTACTATTACCCATGCTATCTTGCATGGTGCGAGCTCCGACTCGCCCGACCCCTTGGGTGTGAGCTCCGGCTCGCCTGACCCCATGGACGCGGGCTCTAGCTCGCCCGATCTCCGGATCGCCCGGCCCCAAGGTTGCGGGCTCCGTCTCACCCGACCCCAAGGTCGTGGGCTCCGGCTCGCCCGACCCTTTGGTCACGTCCTCGTCTCGCTCAACCTCTTGGGTGCAGTGTCCGTTGAGGGCTGGAGGTATATATACATTTTCCTTTTCTCGCCGATGGCTATCTACTATTTAAAGTGACCGTTGGAGGCTGGGGGTATATATACCTTTCTCATTCCTTTCCAACAGTAACCAACCGGCTCTCTTCTTCCTCACTTCAGCACGTCAAAATACAGCAGGAGCTCTCTCTCTCACTCTATTGTTGACCTCAAGCCTCCAAGCAAATCCATTGATTTCCCCATCGATCCTTGAGGAAAAAGGGCCCAACACTCAAATAGAGAGTAGCTCCATTGATTCCTAAACTCTAAAGAACACTTGGTTCACGTCTTAGCCTGTGGTTGTGTTTGTTACTCTTGAAGCTTGGCTCCTAGCCGGCTAAAGCGTCGCCCGGTGAGCTTGCCAAGTTTGTGGCAGCACCGGGAGGTTTGTAACCACCTCTTGCAACGATTAAAATCACACATCGTCTCAAGAGTTCACTCTCTTAATTTGAGAATGAGGTAGGATTGTAAATCCCTAAGCCTTAGTGGTATACCTCAACAACGTGGACATAGACAAGCCTTGGTGGCGAGCTGAACCATAGGATAAATTCTTGTGTCATCTTGTGCTTGTGTTGCTACACTTGTGTTCTTCTTGTTGTTGAGGTGATCTTTAGAGTTTGAGACCGATCTACTTGTGTGTGGTGTTCCCACCACTTTCAGCTGTCGATCTGTGATCTACTACTCTGCAGGAAGTTAAGAAATTTACTCAATCTAAATTTCATTGGGTAGATTTTGAACTGTGAACTAATCTCTCCTGCAGGTGCGGCAGTGTCGCGCTCACGGAGCGACAGTGTCACGAGTGAATTTGACTTCGGTTTGAGTTAAACTTTTTTAGGCCTATTCACCCCCCCCCTCTAGGCGTTCCAGTGATCCTACAAGGACCGACTGATTGGAGACGGGGAAAGGTGGAGGTCTAAGCACCATACTGAGACCAGGTCTCAAGTGTGGGGGCTTGGAGTCCAAGTTTGGACGGGGACCTGTATCCCATGACAAAAGTTGAATGGGTTGGTCTTGTTTATGCCTGGGGTACAAACAGAGCGTGTGTTTCGGGATACCCAGCTGGGATACATTGGTTCGCGAATCGCCATTTTCATGAGACGGTACAACTTGGCTATGGTCTAGCACCATAGTAAGAACTAGAAGATGAAAGATGGTAAAATGGTTCTGATTGGTCAACCCTTGCTTGAAAGTAGAATAGTTGCTTACCTAGAATGGTTAGCTAATGAAATAATCATGACTGCTAATAAAACTTGACCGTAAGGTTGAACTATTAGTAATGCTTTTCGCAAACAAAAAAGAAAACAACAAACCCATATTGCCTATCATATATTTGAGAGTCGGAAAATTATTCCCACTAGTCGGGTAAGTCTTGTGAGTACATTGTATACTCAGAGTTTATTTTACCCTTGTTGCAGGTGCAGCTTGAGGAGTAGCTCTTGTGTGGATGATTCTTCTGGTGAGCACAGACGGATCTTTGTATCGTTTTCGCTAGATGTTTATTTTTATTCCGCTGTTTAATTATCGCACTCTGAACTCTAGTGTTGTAATAAATAATTTTCAAGAACTCTGGTTGTATTAAATGGACTAAGTATTGTAAGCTCGTACTCATTATCGGATTCTGGATGTAAAATGTAGATTGTTTCGAACTCTTCCTTGGGGTGTGCTCGACGGAACTGTTCGATGTAGCTCCCTTTCGAGATGCTTAGTGTCTAGTGGAAGACGAGCGCCTTCGAAAACGTATTATTTTGGACATTTCTGCCGCAAAGGTGCTGCGAAAATTATACTATGCGAAAACAACATCTGCTTCTAGTTACCTATTTGGTTGGCATTCTGCTTTTTAGCAGTAGAAATGCTTTTCAAAAGCTGAACCAAACACAGCTATAGCATGCTTTATTTGTGTAAATACTATATAGGTGCTAGATGAATAATATAATGATCTTTTTTTTTAGATAACGGAGCATATGTTTCTTGTTCGGGGAACCTCATTCTAATTATACTAGATACAAGCTCCGTCTCTTAAAAGAAACAATACAACAGATATAACTCTCATATAGGTTTTAAAAGTGACCTCCTAAGTTATACATCTGGCTATATGCTAGCACTTTATCAGTTTCAAATTATAAGATGTCTTGTCTTTTCTAAATACATAGATTTTTTTAAATACATTATATACTTTCTTTGTTTTATTTTAAATATACATTATGTCTAGATATATAATAAGATCGATGTATCTAGAAAGACGATAGATGTCGTCTTATAATTTGGAAGGGGAGTAACATTAAAGCTGCTTCAGAAGATGTTAATCTCAATTGTAAAAAGAGTATTAAAACACTTATTTTGATTACAGATGTGACTTATTTTATCCAGCATCTTAAACCCTAAATTGCAACCTGCTTATCAATCCCACGTTGCCTCATTTAGATGCTGTCGTTGCCGATTCGTTGCATTGCATCCAAGTGGTAATGGTACGACGGCCTCTCTTTTTTTGTTACCTTTTTTACATTTACATTACATCCTCTTAGCCTGGCTCAAGTTATCCGTTATTGTCACTCGCTAGTACTACAGCTCCTGTTCCCACCTTGCGTTGGATGTCCGCCAGCTTTGGCCACTAGCTAGGTGCCTTGTTGGAACTCGAGTTCCATGCATGCACAATGCCACCGGTAACATGACATCGGTTTTTACACTAATCCTGCAGATAAAAAACCTCGCTCACTCCCATCCCTGCACGCCGCCACTCGCGCACCAGCTAAAGTTGAGGCTGGAGGCGTGATCCTCGGAGAAGAAGCCCGCCGCGCCGTCGTTGCCGATGACATCCGAGCTGCCGAGCCACTCCTCCGTGAAGCCATAGCCGGCGCAGGGCTTGTACGAGTCGAAATGGTATGTCATCGGCCCGTGCTGCCACTTGGTCTCGAACACTGGGGGAGACGAGCAGCCTGTCGGTGCCGCCGCCGATGTGTCCAAGAACGGTGCACCGAACCCGACGAAGGCCGGCTGCTCGAACGCCGCGCCGGAGTACGGCGACGCCTCGACGTCGTTGAAGACCACGCTGGAGTCGCTGTCCGAGGAGCCGTCCTTGCAGACCCCTGCGGGCGGCGCGCCGGCCGTCGTCTGGCGCTCCTCCGCCGTGTCATTGCCCGTCGTCGCCTCCAGCTTCACCGCAGCCTCCGGCGCCTTGGACAGCAGCTTCTGCCTCAGCTCCCTTATCTGAGGACCGCGCGCGCGCCGAAACGACACATCAGTGAGTGACAGGTTGGCCCCCGACAAGACCAAAGAGTAGACGGCTGACCGGCGGTGACAGAAATCACATACCTCGGCGGCGAGTGCGTCCTTGTCGCGGCGGAGCGCGTCGCAGTCGGCGCGGAGGGCGTCGTGGCGCGCGCGCAGCGCCGCGAAGTCGCGCTCGAGCGTCTTGGTCTTCCAGCGGGCGCGGCGGTTCTGGAACCAGACGGCGACCTGGCGCGGCTGCAGGGCGAGGTCGCGCGCGATGCGGGCCTTGCGGTCCGGGTCCAGCTTGTTGTTCGTCTCGAAGCACCGCTCCAGCGCGCGCACCTGCTCCTGCAACAGGCGCCGCTTCTTCTCCCCGAGACCGCACGACGACCGCGCCGCGCCGCGCCCGCCGGCCAGCTCCTCCTCGTCCTCCACGTCGTCCATCTCGGCCTCGTCGGGCTCCATCTTCCGCGCCGTTAGGGTCTCTTCCTCCGCGAACGCCGCCAGCTTCTCCCCTGCAATACGCGCGTGCGATTTAACTACCAGACGCTCGAATTCCCTAAAATGCAAAGAACATTCTTTCTGCAGCTCTGTGACAGCGAGCTAACCAAATGCTAAAATGGAATGCAGGCAGAAGCAACACTCATCAAATGTCAAAAGCACACATACTTTCATTGTCCACTGCCGCTAACTACTATACGGACATCACGGATGCAGGAAGTACAGAAAACAAGGAGATCTCGCGTGCAGCAACTGCATGCGCTCTAGTACCTGTTTCTGGGGATTCACGGCTGGAGGTGGGCCTCCTGGATTGCCTCTTCATCTGTGAATGATCAGCACTTGGGCAGCTCTGGAAGGATTCGGAAATGGTGGCGATTCTATTCTAAGCAATTATGAGACTGGGGCAGGGCCGCAGGAGTCTTTGGAAAGGAAGGTAGCAGGAGCCGAGTTGCACGCACAAACGAGGGCCCTTTTGTTGGTCGGCGGCGATGGCCTGGGCACTCTTCGTAAGTCGTGCTCTAAAGATGAAGCAAGTGGTGTGGTGGTGGAGTCCCTCTTCTTCCTTGTTGAGCAGGAGTGCAGGACGGATGTGAGGGAGCCAGAGAGGGGAAAGACCACAGGGGCAAACGACTGATGCAAGCGGCCATGGGGCTCGTATAAATATAAAAGCAAGCAAGCGGCCCGCCGGGCCGGGCACCCCCGGTTGGACAGCGCCGCGATGTCATGTGCCAAAGATTTTTGTAGGATCCATGTGGTGGCATTGCCAGTTGGGGCCAATGCCGGTTCCTCCGTTTTAGAAGTGAATTTGGTCTCCGGTTTCGAACAAGACGAGTTTTTTTCTTTGAAGAATCAAAGCTCTAGAAGATGGTAACGATAAAGATAGTAATTCATAAGGTATTGCAATTGCAGCACACCCTTACCCAAGAAGAAAAACATTGCTTTCTCAAAAAAAAAAAGCCAAGAAAATCATTAAACCATAGAGCGTAGAGCAAAAGTTAAGGAAAAACTATAATTTTCCTTTCAACTTTAACCCATGTTACAAACAGTTTAGACCCAACAACAAAGACAATGCTACATCTAGATAAGTTTGTTGGCCACCCTCGATGAAGATGGCTTATATATTGGTGACCGTGGTTGTCACCAAAGAAGTCTATATGTGTTTTTCGAACCGTGATTATAAATATGAAAAAAAATGTTTGTGTCGTTGAAACCGTGAGGTATTCTGGTTTTAATTTATTTCTCTTAGCAATGGGAAGAAAACAAGCCACGGAAGCATATCACCTAGATAGTATTTTGATAAGAGGAGTGGAGATCTTATCTATGGACATTACTGTGGCTACGATTAAAAATCAACTTTATAGTAGAAATTTTACGCGCAACATCCAACACTACGCAGGTGTATGCAACCGTCACATACAAAAGCTAGAATGAACAAAATGCTAAATGTTTTGTTTTTTTTCTAAAAAAAAGATACATGTAACATGTGCACTCAACGTGTGATAGCCAAATTCAATGAGGTATCGACATATATACATGGGCACAACTACGCAAGCATGATGCACAATGTAAAGTTTATTCGTTCTTAAAAATAGGGATAAAAACGATATCCTAGTTTTTTTTTACAGTAGTATCATCTTGTGGAGAAAACAATATCCTAGTATTTAACCTCACACCCATCATATCCAAAACATTTAGCCACAAAGTATCCATGGTAGCCTAATAGCGTAACCATGGTTACTTGGAATAGTTTAGTTAGCAATGCAAGCGAACGAAACCAACTATTATTAAAAGTTTGTCCCAGTTATACAACCTTTTCTTCCCGTGAGTTTTTCTTTTCAAAAAAAAAAGAAAACGAAAGCGTTGCTTTTCATCCAGATAGGTTGCCCTTTGAAGCAAGTTGGAGCCTGCTGTCAACAACGCCAACTGGCACGTAGTATGATACAGACATACAATATAGTATATGAAAAATGCAGACCTTAGCTTAATGTGAACCCGGGCCACCATAGTCGACTACCAAGAGCTGTACGTCGCCGTCACGGCAAATTTCATTTCATTTCGTTTTCCACGAAACTGACGAACCGTTCTTCACACACGCGTTAATTTATAGTAAGTATGGAGCACCGATCGAGGGATATTACTTGTGATTTCCGTGCCGTAAGGATGCATGTGCACGGCATCTAAAACACAAAATCTCTACGCTCCCCGTAGATAAAATACTCGTTCAGATGCAGCTGTACTGCCGCGAATAATGGTGCATGTTCATGTTCTGCAGGAAGGAGAGCCATGTTCGCGTTCGGCTGGCGCTGGAGGCTGGAGCTCACAGAATCACAGCATCGAAGAGAGAAACCGTGTGGTGAAGCTGGACTAGTGTGGTGGCGAAACGTGGCAGGCACTGTGCCGGCGGGAACGGCACCACCGAGCCGGCACTCCAGCTCAGAGCCGCGCTTTAGGAACCGTCCCGGGGCCCACGATGCTGCTGCTGCAGTTGGAGCCTAGCCTAAGGCCTGGTTTAGTTTCTAATTTTTTTTGTTTGGACACATACATAGAATATTAAATGTAGACGAAAAAAACTAATTGTATAGTTTTCGGCAAAATCGTGAGACGAATCTTTTAAACCTAATTAGTCCATAAAAAACCTTAAGTGCTACAGTAACCACATGTGCTAGTGACCGATTAATTAGTATCATTAGATTCGTCTCACGGTTTTTTGATGGATTATGTAATTTATTTTTTTATTAGTATAAAAAACTCCTCCAACATCATTTCGACACATTCCATATAACCTCTAAAAATTTTCGTCTCCTCAGCAACACACCCTAAACAAACCCTAAAGGCTACTCCATGTCCAGGGCTTGAAAGCCTAGCTAGCGCAGGGTACTAGTTCTGTCTGCTCACAGATTCGTGCGCCGCGGCGTGCATGCGTGATGTCAATTCGACGTTCTAGATGCGAGATGCCCTCGTGTCGTGTTCATCTTTTCCACGGCAACGGCAGGCAGCAAGGCACCAGGCAGGCGGAAATATCGCCCGGGGGGCGCTGGCGAGTGGCGATGTGAATGGTTTTGGTAGTTTGCCTCGGGCCCGGGTTAGATTGTAAATTTTTGCAATCCGGACATACTGTAGCACGTTTCGTTTGTATTTGACAAAATTTATCTGATCATGTACTAACTAGGTTCAAAAGATTCGTCTCGTGATTTACAACCAAACTGTGTAATTAGTTATTTTTTTATCTATATTTAATACTTCATGCATACGTCCAAAAATTGATGTGATAGAGAGAGAGTAAAAAAACTTGAAATTCTGACGCAATCTAAACCAGGCCTCCGACAAATTTTTGCTCCTCGTGTCATGCATGGCCGTGCATGTCCATGCGAGGCTTTAATTTCGGGCTCATCTGATCCAAAGCCTATCTTATCCGGTCCGCTTTTCAACACCGTGATCTATCCGGCCGGCCGGTTTGATCAACATCAGGGTGACGTTGCTTCTGATGGTTTATGTCCGTGTTTGTGTGTGTAGAGCAGTCAAAGAGAGACTAGGGAAGGTACTCAGGCTTTTTTTTTGGTGACAATGGGACTGTTGCTCAGTTAGTAGCCTATGGCTTATCTTATCTGTAGGAAAAACAGGGAACCGTTTTTTTTTATCGGCCGATCACGATCGTGCTTCGTGTACATTTTGACACACACACAACCGCGCGCGACGGAACTCTTTGCAGAGTGCGCCAAGATGCGGTGGTCTCTGCTTTTCGCCATGAGTGCCGTGCTGCCATCGGCACTTCTTGACTTGCTGGATCGATATAGCGGGTAGTGCGCACTTGCAAGTCCGCCGCGACAAAGGAGATACCACAACGCAGTGCCCGTCACTTGATGCTACCTACTCCCTCTGTTCCAGAAAAATTATCGTTCCAGCTCTCATTCATTGTCCCACAAAAACTGTCGTTTTAGACCCTGGTCCCATCTGGACAAGGCCACAGACCTACTGCTTTTGTTTCTCACCTTCGTTCGCATCCACACGGAGCATACCAACGCGGAGGTGCAGCAGCGGTTCCCCAAGCGGATCGACCGATGCGGAGGTGGAGCGGCCCGAAGCCGAGGCGAATCCAGCGGCGCCTCCCGAGCAGGCCAGCATCGAGGCGCATCCCGAGCGGGCCCTACTCCCTTCCTTCTTCCTCATCCACCGCCCTGCCGAGATCCAGTCGCGACCATGGCTGAGATCCACGCCCAGGCGTCGCCGAGATCATGCCTGGCCGGTCGCCGAGATCCATGCCTAGCGGGGCGCGTGCTGCTGGGCCGTCGTCATCGAAGTGAGGCGGAGGCGCGCTGAGGCGGAACGGCTGTCGGTGCCAAGGCGGAAGCGGATCTGCCAGCGTGGGGACGACCATCATCAAGGAGCGGTAGCCGGCGTTGAGGCGGACGGCAGGACGGGCCAGGGCGGCGCCCCCACCTCTTCTCCTCCACCGATAGGAGGCGCAGGGCTCGGGCTCTGGGCACGACAGGCGCGCCAGCAACCTGGATCGAGATGGGAACGGGGAGGATAGCAGGATAGAGTAGGGATATTCTGGTGTTTTCTCTTACTCGTTGATATTCGTGCACATTGCTAGAACGACTTTAATTTTGGGACGCAGGGAGTAGACCACGAATATGAACGCCCGAACGACGTGCAATCCAGTACTACTTGAATCCAAAAGTTTCCAACTTTTTTTTTTGAACTTACACCATATTCGCTTGATCGTATCAGTCATAATATAGTATTTTTCTCTCACAATAAAACAGCATCAACCGACTTATAAGCCACGGAAACCAACATGTGTAAGTTTCCAACCTCATCATGTGTAAGTTTCCAACCTTGATCGAGAGCAATGGACGCTTTCGAGTTCCTATCTTTACTCGACAGTAGTAACTAGGAAGCTAGTAGTAGAAAGCAAGTTGCTTGTCTGAAGTCTTAAACAAAACCCAACCACTACTAGCTCCATTTTCCAGCGCCTCAAAACGGGGGAGCCGGGAATCTATTCCTAGACCTCTGAAAAGTATGGCAGAGAAGCAACCTCTTTTGGCCCAAAAAGTCGTAGGCACACCCGATTGATTGATGGATGGATGCCTCAAAAAAAGTAGTGCCAGGACCACAGATGCCGTGCGGTACCCTCAGGGTAGAAACGTACACGTCTTGTTTGGTTCCACGGACTAGATTTTAGGATTTAAAGTATTAAATATAGATTAATTATAGAAGTAACGGTATAAATTGAGATTAATTTGTGAGATTAATCTATTAAGCCTAATTAGCTAATGATGTGATAATGTGGTGCTACAGTGGATATGTGTTAATGATAGA